AACCCTTTGAAGGGGGTTATATAGGCGACTATTATAGAGCTTGTTAAGGAATACTAGGAGTTTTGACTATAGCTCATGTGGAAGTTGATAAAAAAAAGTCCAGGCTTTGTCCGTTTGAAAGGATTCTTCTCGAGAGGTGCGGACAAAAAGGACCCTTCAGTACAGCATCAGGTGCCAAATAAGCTTCGCGCCGGTAGTCATCTGGTAGCCAAGCTTCAAAGGTTGAGGTCTCTTGTCCAAAGCCGGCCTAAATAGCACTGGCCAAGTTAGGCAGCCCAAAGAAATCAAGTTAGCCTCCCATCTCCCACTGACGTGCCCTGGATCCTAAATGCCACAATCAGAACCCTAGATATGCCTTGCCAAGGATGCGATGCCTCTGGTTCAAGAGCACGTGCTTGGCATCATTGGGCCGTCACTTCCCCAGTTTCAACCTTGCCCATGTTGCGCCCCTGGCTCATCTTCCAAATTAGGGTTTAGGGTTTAGGGTCCATTGTGGGTCAAAAGAAAGCTGAATTGCAGGCTCCTGGGTATAGAAGCGTATTGTGGACCAGAGGTAAGCTGTGTTCGGAACTCGCCTAGGTTCTGAGGGTTCTGGGTAGACCTTGATGCTCAGGACCGGCTCATCCTGCTTAATAGGTGATATTAACCTACTAACTGGGTCCCCCTGACCTTGCAAGTAAACCCGAAGCCCTAAACCATCAAAAGGAGACTCTCACTCTGTAATTTTGTAGTCACGGACAGTAGTCATGCTGCTTTGTGCTGTCACGGAAATCTTGCCCAGTACGCAACACACCTCATGCACATATTGGAGTTTCTGAAAGCCAGTACCCAGGGTCCCTCTTATATACCCGAATCTTGTAGCTCTTACACACCCCGATCTTGTGGTATCATTCCCAGTGTCCTCACGAGGGAGCCCTAATTCTTGGAACCCCCCACATCCCTCTGAGTTTGCCACACGGCTGATGAGTAGTATCTTATTTCGGGATACTATGATACCCACTATAGAGTAAGATTCTATCCTCCCTTTGGGGTATGTATTCTATATAAGGAATATTATCTTACTAGGTTCAACCACCAAAAAAACACTGCTCAGATGAGGTGGCACCCCCCCACCCACGAATAATGGTACAATAAACTTGTATTTCCACATGCAGAGGCATAAGTATGTATATTTACATGTGTGTGTGTGTATAGAGACCACAACCAGATTTACCATTGTCTCTTCTTGTGGCCACTATTGGTGGTCGGGGGTCCTTATTGAAGACTGCTGACGAGGTGGGACCATCTTGTTCGGGACCGACGCAGCTTTCTGCACTGGAATGCTGGCTGCTGGTTACTAGGGCCTTTACTAGGGAAGAAGAGAGGCACTTAGAAGCATGGGTCGATTTTTGTCGGCCCGTTTATGGTAGCAGGGATCTTTTTGTTAGACAAGCATGGGGGTTCCCATTATGAGAAACCCTCAAGAGGTTTCGACAGAGTCCTAAGAGGGCATCCAGCCATTTGTCGATTTTTCTTGCCATCACATCCTTCCAGTGTAGCGCTGCAGCATCATGCTGACATTGTGGTTGGCTCGGTCCTCTGCATAGCTGATAGTGGCAATTGCGAAGGCTGTTCCGAGCATTTGGCTTAAGGTTGGAGGCATTTGTGTATAGTCAGCTTCCCAAGTAATTATGATGCAGGCAGAGGAAGCAGCTTTCCTCGAAATCGAAAGCTCAGAGGATCGCGAAGTCTCCTCTGGACGAGGGCGAGTGGCTGTCCTGGCTGGCGTGATTGGTGCCGTACTGGTCATTGCCGTTGTCGGATTGGCTGGCGTTGCCATTTCTTACCGCAAAGATCACTCCATGCTCCGGGCAGCATCAACCGATGCCTTGGTGCAGCTAGCCCAAGAGTCAGGCGCGCTGCAGGCGCTGGCCCCACAGGAGAACCTCCACGACAGCAACCCATGTGCTGATGACGAGGAAATCTTCGAGGGTTTGTGCTATGCAAAGTGCTCAATCCTATCAGGTGGAATGAGGCCTGTGAGGTGTGCAGCTCACATTTGTGAGCCATTGGACAGCAATGGACATCACAAATGCCGCCTCAGCGCGGCCGCAATTTCCGCAATTTTGAGCTCTCCATCCCTGTTTCCATGCCAGGGGTACGATGCTCGGTACCCCAGTAGTACCCTTTTTCCCTTTTTATTCGAGGTCTCCTTATTAAAGCTTATCAAAAACTGAATATTAGGAAAAGGGTACCCTTATTACTGAGGGCTTACTGGCGAACCTAGGATGTTGCAGGGACACAGGAGGGAGCCAAGCGCTGCCCCCATACGGCTGGAGCTTGCCTGAATGACGAAGAGCTGTAACTGGATCAATGTTAGGGATCTAGGGTTTAGGGCTTAGGGATTCCTCATATGTAGGTAAAAAGGATCCTTTTTTGATCCTAGGGTAATGTGGGCTAAGGTACCTTGGAACTTGCTTCAAGAAGTGCTCTGTCCTCACCAACGGGGTCTTCCCTCACCGCAAGGCATCTGGGTTGCTGTTCAGGAACATAATTTGAGTTACTGTATTGGGGAAACCCTATTATGCACTGTATATGTATATATATATACATACCCATTATCGTGACTTAATTCAGGTTCTTTAACCGCAGCCCAGGCATTTGCTACCTGCTGCAAGACAGCGGAGTTCTTCCAGTGCTTGATGCCGGGGCAGTCGAAGACGGCCCAAGCTTTCGCCGAGGGTGGTGGCGCCGGAGATCATGATCCAGGTACCTGGGTTGTTGTTGAACAGCATTTAATTTTTTGCCGTCTTATCCATACCTGCATAAAACATTTTCACAATACCTCAGCAATATTCCAGGCACGCCGGCTACATTCCATGCGCCCATGCAGAGCCTCACAGAGTCCGGATGAGTGAAGAACTTGAGGCAGGCGCGACTCTGAATTGAGGTCGCTACAGCTTGCATTGCCCTCCTTTCACGAGGGCTTTTTTGGGAGCTTCTCAACATTACGCCTTTAGAATCCGCCATCAAGAAGGGCTATCACATAGTCCACTTGAAGCCACCAAAAGTCCCTGAGGTCTCTTTTTGAGAAACCCCTTATTCAGATGTCAGCATCTAAGCCATCTGCCAAGGCGCAGCTTGGCACTGTCAGGTAAAACTATAGTCCCCCTTAAGTATTAAGTAGATAGAGTACGGGGTATATGGGGATCTTATTATAGTATACCCAAAGCCATATTCTCTCTACTTAAGGGAGGGACTATACTCTCAGTGTTTATGCATGGACCAAGGAGATTGGTCTCCCAATTAAGGCAGCCTGCATCAGTTGCCTTGCAAAAGGAGGAAAATGGAGTTTGGGATTATAAGGGTTGTATAAGGTCATATAGGGATGGATATGTAGGGGTATGTAGGGATGTATATAGTGTCATGTGAAGAGTCAGCTGTTCTCAATTTTCGCTGCTGTCCGCGTTCATGTGAACGCAACTTGCAGGACTTTGTGCTTCAGCTGTCTCTCTTCCAGGTGAGCCAGGCTCACCCCCTTTGCTTTAGGGCTGCATTTTGGCACACCACCACTGCGTATAGTATCCAGCATGTTGCCTAGAGGCCAAGTCATACGTCAGCTGTGCCAGCCTAGATATTTGCCAAGGCTTGAACTCTAAAGAATGGATGCACTGAGAGATCAGCAGTCAGGTGTACTCGATGTCGGCCTTTTTCGGCTATGCTTTGCAACAAGCTGAGCTGTGCGGGGCCTAGAGGTGTGGGGGCATGCTGCTGCCGAACTGGTCGCTGCAGCTTGAAACCCCCGCCAAAGCCTTTCCAGGACAGAAGGGTGTTTAGCATGATTCAAGCCTTTCTCCAAAACCATTAATTAGTCACTCCCCTGAAATCAGCCACTCAGGAGATTTCGCTTCCTTCTTGCCTTCTTAAACCAAGGACACGTCACCTCAAAATGGGATTAACTAACCACATGAAATGCCAGGCTCTTTTACCATCCTTGATGAAAGACCCACACAGAAGAACGGGTTGATTTCAAGTTTGAAGTAGCTTGGCAAAGTGCAGAGGCGCTACAGCTTGGAGAAAGCTGCTGGCGACGCGGAGGCTGGTGACACAAACCTGTAAGCTCCTACCACAAGAAAGACAGACCCAGCTATGAATACCACAGTTTGTGAAGCCTGACATTGGCAAGGGCTCCGGGATTTGCGTACTTATCAGGTGCTGTTAGATGGGTTATTACAGGGGTGGAGGGCAGACCTGAACCCCGAAGTCTCTCAGTAGGGAAGTAGTTGGACTTGACTTGCAAGCATTTGCTGAAGGAAGCTCGCAAGAGTGAGGGCACGTGCAGATGCGTTACTTTGAGCTCCGCACTAGCCGTTTGTAGAGGACAGCCTCAACAGAGCTTCCAAGACAAGCTAGCATATTCCAGAGCAGTATATGATAGTGGTGGATGGCAGGGGGATCCTTTATGTTCATGTCTCTGGTTTTCCTTCTAAACAAAGTACCGGCTGAATGGTTTCTGCCCGAGTTGCGAGTTGGGTCAAGCAGCAATTGCCATCATGTTGGCATTCATCTCGATGATGACAGGACCTATCTGGACCTATTACATGAGGTCAAGGTACATGTTATTTACGTAGCGATGTCAAACAATCTCAGGCCTTCTACTAAGAAAACAAACTTGGATTTCCAGCAGGCTGCCCATGGCAATTTCCGATCTATATCTTCCTTTCAGTAGTTTCGCCTGCCAAGAAGCCTCGGAACTCGCGACTTATCTTCACAAACCGTTGTAACCAACGTAAGTCAATCAAGTTTGTAAACAAAAGCCTTTCAACGCCTTGCAAATCCTTTTTGGACGTGAGCTCACCATGGCGATCCGGCTGGATGTCGTCCTGCTAAGTGGGCAGACGGCTACTGTCACCATGACGCCGGAGGACATCATGCACGATGTAGCTGGGTAGAGGGATAGCTGGGAAGGCCCCTGACACATAATGGCTTTAATGGGGGACCCTATATGAGCTATAGTCTAAACTCCTTAAAGGGGGTTATATAAGGGCTTAGATTGGGGACTACTATAGGGGTTATTAAGGGGGATACTAGGAGTTTAGACCATGGCTTATATACGAACATCTTTCAAAGGGTTTTAGGGGCCAACCCAGATAGGGGCAGTCATGACAGCAAGACCGGGGACCAGCCCGAATGTCCTTGCATTGACAAGGATAATCTATGTAAAGAAGAGTACACTCCCCCAAACTAACGTGGAAACCCATGTCGCCCGTTTTTAAAGGGACTATAGTCTTTGTAGGGCCCTTTTTGGGTTTCCATGTTAGTTTCTTGGAGGGTATCAGCCATATGCGGAAGGTACGCAAGGTGGCGCAGGATGATAGTTGCAGCATCACTACAAAGGCCTCCCTCAATGCGTATGCCATAGGAAGGATAAGGAGGCTTCAACATCACCAAGTGGTAATCTTACATATAGTAGGCAATGGTTTACAAGAGGGTTGTGATAGCAGCGGTAGCACTGCTCACCACAGTTTTTTCCCGCCACTTTCTCTCACCATCATCATTGTCAGAGCATTGCACTATGCAGCTTGTTTGGCTTGATACCTTCCCTGATAGGAACTCATGTCCATAAATGTTGTGGGCAGTCTTGACTGTAGCTTAATGTGATCGTATCACTCCTTTTGTCCTACTGAAGAGCTTTGCCCAGTCTTGTAACAAACCCCCTCCAAACACTGCCGTGATCCCGCATGTAAACCCATCTATCTCAGGTCAAGCAGGCGGCCCAATCAAAGATGGGAATTGGTTTGCACGCCTTATTTGGTCGAAATGGTCTGCAGCTACAGGAGGGGGTTTCTCAAAATTGAAGTAGGGGTACCTTTTTGGACATCCCTAAAATAGTTAAGGAATCTAGTATATTGGGGTCTATACTGGGGTCCCCCTTATGTAGGGAAACTACCAGGACTCCTGGTCCGTGAAGCACGCCTGCCTCGAGGATGGCAATGCGTCGTCAAGCCTTTTCTGGTGGTTAGTTAGTATAAAGGAATGGCGTAGAATCCGGAAAACACCATATATCAGTGGGGTTCAGGGAATACTGGAGAATTCGGGCCCAATGTTTCTAGAATCATGTTATTTGGGAGGCCTGGGTTTTACCGACATTGTCAGGATGGTGATATAGTCAATGCCAGCGTCAGACGGGCTTCGCTGGCCTCAAGCCAGAGAAACCCTGCATTTGCCCTCATCCGCGCCGACGGCTCCGTTGATACATGGGGCTCTATAGAAGCTGGTGGCAGCAGTGACTGCGTCAAGGAAAAGCTGAAAGGTGTGCAAAGCATCTGCGGGTCCTCAGGGGCTCTTGCTGCAGTTCTCTCTGATGGCAGTGTTGTGACTTGGGGAGCCTTCTTCTGTGGCGGGCACAGCGGTTCTGTTCGGAGCCAGCTTGTGGGAGTTCGTGACCTTCAGGCTTCCCATCGTGCCTTTGCAGCCCTCAGGTCTGACGGTAGAGTTGTGACGTGGGGCGATGTGGGCTTCGGCGGCGACACCAGCGGAATGGAGGATGAGCTGTGTAACGTACAGCAAGTCCAATCTTCGCGACGCGCCTTCGCAGCGGTACGTTCTGATGGCTCCGTGGTTACCTGGGGTGATTCGGACAATGGTGGCGACTCACTCGCTGTTCAGGACCAGCTCCAGAACGTCCAGTTTGTCAGTGCCACCGAGCATGCCTTTGCAGCTGTGAAGTCAGATGGTACCGTCGTATCCTGGGGACGAGCGAGTGCTGGAGGCGACAGTAGCCATGTCCAGGACCGCATGCTGCCAAGTAGGAATTGGGGGCCAGCCGTTATCATATTCATGCCTCCAAATGCGCCTCAAGATAAGGCATTCCCAAATCCTGGCGCGAATCAGGATACCAGGAGAATCGTCGCATCATGGCTGTCAGGAGAGACTTTAATTTGTGGGGCATACATACACCACCGATGGTTGCATCAAAGTATAGGAAATACTTTGCACTAGACTGCTTTACCTGCTTCGTACTTTCCCCTATTGCAGGAGCAACTGAAGCAGGTGAGGCAGCTTACTGCCTCTCACCGTGCCTTTGCCGCCGTGCTGGCCGATGGGAGCGTGGTGGGAGCTTCTCGAAAACGGGGTATACCCTTGTAGACAATCAAGATGATCTTTTGAAGCTCCGGAATACACATACAAAATTCTGGACGTATTCATGAGACCTCTAGATATACACTCAGACATACAGCTATATACGCAAATAGACAGTCATAGCGGAACCCCTATGAATCATCAACACACCTCCCAAAAGGCATCCCGAAACTACCCAGGTGACCTGGGGCGAAGAAGGCTTTGGGGGTGAGAGCGCAGGCAAGGTGCTCACAAGCAGTGATTTGCCTGAACAAACTCTTACATAGGCATGGTCTTAACTCCATAAAGGGGGCTTATATAGGGGATTATATTAGGGGACTACTATCGTGTGATTAAGGGGGATACTAAGAGTTTAGACTAAGGCTCACATAGGTATATATCAGTCAAACTTGAGATAGCTCAAGGTGTACGTTTTAGGGTTATATGTGTACGTTTTAGGGTTATATGAAGTTATATGTATATGGGCAGTATCCTAGATTAGGAGCCTGGAGTTTCCAATTTAGAGTAAGATGATATCTGTTTACGGTATGCTATAAGAAGAACATGCTAAACTGTTAGTCCGGTAGTTCCTAGTGGCCCCTAGATAAGACAGACCCTCTGAGAAACCGCTGGGTTCCCTTGTCAGTTGCTTGGGAGGGTCCTTCGTAGGGTGTCTCTCCCATTTTGAGGTCTCGTAGGAATCTGCCCTAGTCAGTGAAAATCCGGCCTTTCCACAAAAGGGGGCCCAGTTCAGACCCCAACATATTACAATCCTTTCTATAGAGACTCCCCATGAAGGCCTCGCAATTGTTGGAAAACTTCTAATCTGTAATATAGAACTATACAGAAAGGGATATACGTAGGGAGATACGCGTCTTTAAGTAGATGCAGGACTGATATGGGCAATGGTTTGGGCAGTCACGCAAGTATGGTTTTGTTCAAGGAAGGAGTTTTGAAGTTCAAACTGTTGGTGACCCCAAAATGGACCCCAAATCTTGAAAAAGCTCCCAAATATAACTTCAAAGCGCAGTTGTAGGAAGCTTATAGACAATTGTAGCATTCCAATCCGCCCGCGCACCCCACACGCATCGTGGAAGGCATGTATGCGAAGTTCCATGTTAGCTGGGTGCGTGCAGGCTTTCAGTTTAGTTTTGGCTTCTGAAGCAGGATTCGTGAAACTGAGACTGCACGAGCAAAGTCCGTACAAATCCTGCGTGAATGCTCGCAAGGCGGGAACAGCCTAGAAGTCTGCATACCGGTAATGTTGTCCCTTGTACGTTTGGCAGGCTTGCTTCAGTTGTAATTCTAGATACTCAGACAGATAACACAAAACTACCCAAGCCCCTACCCGGCGATGCGGTGATATTCCTGCTGATTTTGCGCGACAGCAGGAGTCCACGACCATCTCCGAGATGTGGTGCTGGTTCCTGGGTACCCAAAACTACCCACCTTAAACCCTAACTTGGGATCTTATTGGTGTTCTAATGTACAAGCCTCAGCAGTTACCAAGATTATCGTCTTAGATTCCTGGTACTTCAAATAGACCTCCAAAGTAAAGGATATTGGTAACTGTTTGGGTCCCTACATGAGGCTGAAATGTTTCCAGGGGCAGGAGGCCTACACACTATGGGGTCAGGGTTGGGGGAGTTTAGGGCTTAAGATTCAAGCCCAATTTGGACGTCGGCTTAAGTTCGGGAACGTGCATTACAGGGTTTCCGCTGTCGAGGCTGTGGCAGCGGCTGCACTGAAGTCTTACACTATCTGATCTACGGGGTTCAGGGTCCCCAAACGGGAACGCTTGATCTCGCTTTTGGGAAGCCCTTGATAGCTCCTGAGCCCCGTGCCCGTCCCCTTCCCTGCGTATGTGCTATGGTCCAAACTCCTTAAACGGGTGCTATTTAGGGGATTATATAGGGAGTATTTTTGGGTTTATTTAGGGTGATGCTAGGAGTTTAGAGTATAGCTCATATGCCTTT